GGGGCAGAAGGATGGCGTGTGGTGGGAGAACTGGAAGAGAGAGAAAGGCGATGGGGCAGGGGTGGAGAGAAAGAGATGCCCACCCTTGGCCCACAGCAGTGGGATTGTGGGGACAGGGCACCAGCATTAGCCCTGTGAGTCCCCACGCCAGCCCACCTGGTGACATGGGGACACTGTCCACCTCACGCATCTCATTAGGCAGGTCTTCTCCATCCTCCTGGTTTCCCAGAGAACACGTGGAAATCGCAGATGCTAACGTTGCTCCCATGGCCCACTCTCACCCTACGGCGCCCCTGCAGAGAGGTTGCTGAACGTAGGAGCCCATTTTACAGATGGGAGCTCTCCTCCGCAGGGGGTCCTGCGGCTCTGGGACAGCCTGGGTGGCTTCCCTGGCCACGTGCCTGCTGGCTGTCCCTACATGGCCCTGAGGTCACAGGCACCCAGAAGGGGGGACGTCGTCCAGCCCTGGCGCTCTGCTTACCTGACGTGGGATGTGTGATGGGGGCACACTGTCTGTATCCGCCCTCCGTTTTCTGGCTTGGAGTTAGGTGTCCTCCCCGCCTCTGAGCCTGGTCCTTCTGGAAGCCATGGGGCGGGGGGTGCTCTGTGGTCGGGAGTCCTCTGCTGCTGGACGGGACTCCGGAAATCCAGCCTGTGGGGTGAGACCCAGGGAGTCATGGCTTCTGGCCTGGACACCGGTCATGTGAGGCATGGGAGCAGGGCCCTGTGTGTCCTATGGGACTTCGGGTATCTAACAGTGAGGCCTTCAGGGTGTCGTGTGCCGTGTGTGGACCGCACTTGTCCTTTGGAAAAGTAGGAGACAGGATGTGTGCTAGTGGTACCGGGCTCTGCGCCGAGGGTCCAGATTTGGGTGCTGCAGGGTGCAGGCTTGGGGTTGGCTTGATCTGGTTCTGACACTGCCCACCCTGACTTTGTGTGTCCAGGAGATGCCCACCTTGCGGTGCCTATGGAGGGGGGAAGGTCCCTGCTGATCAGACGCCAGACAAGACTGGTGATCAGTCCCCACAGCTGAGGGGCTCAGGGTCCTGCTGGGAACCCCAGCTTTCCCTCCCCCATCTGTCTGCTCAGAAAGGGGCAGGTTACTAGTGGCAAAGCCTTTGTCTCACAGAGATATTTGGGCCAGTTTTCTAGAGCTACCCGCTGGTCATGGGACTGGTGCCCTATAGGACGGGGTGCCTGAGGGCGAGGTCCTACAGGAAGGGCTGCTGGGGGGCGGGGTCCTATAGGAGGGGGCGCCTGGGAGCGGGTGGCTGTAGGAGGGCGCGGGGGGGGGGTGGGCGGGGTCCAGCTGGACAGGGCGCAGGGCAGGGGCTTCTATTGGAGGGGGAGGGTGGGATTCTCCTGATGGTGGAGTTGCATGGGATACAGTTGCAGGGTGGGGCTCTTGTAGAAGGGGGCACTGAAGCATGGGGCTCTGTATTGTGGGGTCCTGTAGGGCGGGCGGGGCACTGCAGGACCCCTGTCTGGACAGCTGGTATTTCCTGCAGGTCCTGTGTGGGCCCCAACCCCCAGGGGACGCTAGGAGGGTGGCTGAGGCCGGAGCAGGTGAAGGACCTCTCCAGGTCCGCAGGTGCAAAGTGACAGAGCCCGGGTTTGCAAAGACGGTCTTATGGGGAGCATGGTCTCTTGACAACGCCTGGACCAGCTTCTCCCAAGAAAAGCCGTGCAGCCCCGCCTTGCGCCCTGGGGCCACCCGTTCTGAGCAGGCTCGGGCCCTCTCCACCTCTCTTAATTAAAGACTGGTGTCTACTGGCAAATCCCCCGCCCCAGGGGAGGGGTTGGAATCCCCTTCTGCAAGGTGGGCCTGGGGTTCATACCCCCCAGCTACGGAGTTGCTGTTTGTGTGCCTGTTTAAAATATAAAAGTAACACTATTAGCCAAACAAATGAGGATTAATTATTGCAAAAGCGTGTTGAGCAAGAGGGTCCCTCTGGGCACACAGCACGAGAGAGTTGTTCCCAGTTGGGGCGCTTGCCTTCCTGCTGGCCAGTGAGTTATGGGTTTATGGGCTGCCCTCTCTCTGTCTCCCAGGTGCTGGCCCCAAAGTGACTGAAGGCCAGCAAGGCCAGTGACTTCGTCGGGGTCCCACGTGGGGTCCCAGGTGGCAGCGTGGGCATTGCCCTTGACCTGTTGCAGGTGTAACCTTTGCCACAGATTGCACCAGTGCCCTTCCCCTCCGTCTCCTGTCGGGTTTCTTAGTGCCTTTAGAAGTCTGGGGCTGTGATAAGCGTGTGCCAAATCAACAGGGGTAAGGGGGGCGGGGCTGGGCAGAGGCAGGTGGGGACCAGGAGGGAGCGCGGGAATCACCTGTGTTACCTTGTAAAGAGTGGCAGGGTCCTCCGAACGTGAGCAGCGCACAGATCTGGGGCTTGGAGTCTTCTTCCTGCAGAGGTTTTCTCCACCTTCCTGTACGAGGTTAGGATGTGGGTTTCTGGGGAGCAAGGGACCGTCTTCTTCTGTAGACTTCTGGGAAGCTGGTTTCTGGGTCATTCCTAAGCCGTGAAATGAGCTGTGGTGTACGGACGGAGTGGGCTCGGCTTTTGAACCCCGAGAGCAGATTGAGTCTTTGCTTTCAAGAACGGATGTACAGAGACTGCGTACCTGCGGGTCCCCTTCTCCCCAGCGACATGGTTTGGAAAGTCTTGCCCCTCATGGTCTCCTGTCTGCGGCTCAGCAGAGCCGACAGCCAGGGGGCCACTGTCTCCGTGTACCTGGGGTCCCATCCCCCCTTGTCTTCTGCTTGGCTCCAAATATAGCCTCTGAAGGAGGGTTTCCCCCCGCGGATTCCAGTGTGCATTGAATCTCAGAGGCTGGTTTAGACGGTCCCGGCGGCTCTGTCCTCCATGGTAGGGGCTGGGCTCGCTTTCATGAAAAGCTCTCCTGACCTCCTGGACCCTGGCCTGGCCCCAGGGTCGGGCTCAGCAGCGCGGGTCGTGGGCCACCAGGACCAGGGAATCGAAAAGGCCCTGAATTTGGGGTCAGAAGTTGCTACCGCATCTTCACTGTGATTCTAGACACAGCACCATCTTCCTAGATGTCGTTTTCCAGGCTGCCTGCTAGGAGCCAGGTGTCCCTCTGTGTGTGGTGAGCTTCCTGACCGCAGTCCCCCGTGGCCCGTCACAGGACGGTGCCGCGGAACGGGGAACCTGGGGGCCGGTGGTCAGAGGACCCGGACCCCATCCCGTTGGGCAGGGGGCAAGAAACAGGGTCCAAGGCTGGCCTCATGTCTGTCCTGGGGACCCTCCTGCCACTTCCTTCCATGCAGCTGTTCTGGCCACGCCCATCCCCTCACTGTCCCCAAGATGCAGAATAGTGCCACTTTAGGGCTCAGACACTGGGACATATTCTCTTGAGGTGACTCCCTCACTGCAGGGACCCCTGCCTCTCCACACTGAGCTGCGGCTCTGCCCACCGCTCCGGCACCTGAGGGGTGGGGGGAGGCCTCGCCACCAGCCTGGGGGGGCGCAGGCTGTGAGAGGTGGATCTGCCTGTACCCAGTTAGACAGTGGCGGGGGGCTGGAACACGTGGAGGGCCTTCCCCTCAAGGGGTGTGTGTTTTATCCTCAAACTTACATGCGTGGGTCGTGTCTAGTTTTCAGTCCATGTGCATCACTTCGGTCTAAGTTGGCATGGTGCACAGCGGCGCGGCTTCAAGTGGGGCTGAGCATAGGTGGAGGTGGCTGGCCTTCCGATCGCGTTGTGTGTGTGTGCGTGTGTGTGTGTGTGTGTGTGTGTGTGTGTGTGTGTGTGTTCCGTGGTCACGGAATGTATCCACGCTTCGTGGGTGTGTACCTGTCATCTGGCTACTGTGAATCCGTCTGCCATCCATCCTTGCCAGGGGATTCCTGGGGCTGGGGGCCAGCTGGGAGCCCTCTGGGAAGTGCTGGCCTCAGGGCTGCTTTGGGGAGAGTGGGCCCAGCCCCCCTGGCCCCTTGGGAGCCGCTGTCCATGCTGCTCAGGGTCCCAGGCACCGAGGGAGAGGGCCCAGTCAGTGCCTGGACTCGTCTGTAAGAGGGGACCTGATGAGAGGCCCCATCTGCCAGGGATGGCCAGCGGGCAGGCTCCCTGGGCACTCAGTGCTTCCTGCTGCCCATGTTCCCAACATCACCATGCACCCCAATGTGCAGAGTGGGGCCAGGACAGGCGGCGGACTCCGGGATGGGGCCCCCAAGTCCGGCAAGGGCACTGGGAGTGCTGTGCTGGGGGCTTACCAGCTCTCTCGCCCCTGCCGTTTTGGCAGTGCCTTGCATACCCCTTTGAGCCTCGGTTTCCCCTCTTCTGAAATGTGGGAGGTAATTCCTGCTCACAGAGGTGCTGGGTGTGTCTCCTGAGATGGTGTCTACGCGGCCTCCGTGGACCACATTAAAACACGTGCATGCGGGAGGGTCTCGGAGATTATAAAGTCATCACACCTGCTTTTTCCCTGTAGGACGGACTTCTTAACAGAACAGTGGACATTGGGGTGCCTGGGCTGCTCAGCTGGTTAACTGTCCAAGTCAGTTCAGGTCATGATCTCAAGGGCCATGAAATTGAGCCTCATGTCAGGCTCTGTGTTGACGATGTGGTCCTTGCTTGGGATTCTCCCTTTCTCTTTGTGTCTTTCAGAACAAATGAACAAACCTTAAAAAAACAGATGATCGATGCAATTGAGAATTATCAGTCATTAATTGTTTTGTTCAAGTCACTCTAACAATAAACGTAGTGGTCTAGTGAGCACTGGTGGAGCTCCTCCGGTATACACGGGACAGGCATTTACGGGTGCCATGGGGGAGTCGTGGGGGCTTGTGGACTGTGGGACTGGGGGTTTGCAGTCACAGTGACTTGATGTGCCGGAGACCCTCCCTGGCTACAGGCTGAGTTGGTAGTCGCTGCGTGTGACTTCCCACTTGACTAAATCACAAAGTGGCGGCCGTCCCTCCTTCCCCACAGACTGATGGCTGTGGACTGCATGAGAATGACCTGTGCTTTGTCCTTCACAGGCTCCGGGGGGCTCTGCACCGTCCGCTGCTCTCTGCCGTGCCGGGCCGCCCAGGTAAGCATCCAGTACCCGGTGGCCCTGCCTTGGGTCAGATGTGACAGAAGAAGCCTGTGCGAAGTCTTCCTCAAGCCTTGTCGTGTTCCCAGGAGACGCATGTCAAGCTCTTTTTTTTTTCTGGATGCACCCTCCCTGCACTGCGGCCCAGACTGTGGGAATGTGGTGGTTTCCGTGCACAGCTGTGCCTTTATTGTGCAAGTAAACTTTGGGGACGTTCCAGAGTTGACCCAGCAGGTGCACCGAGCTGTCGGCCTGAGTCCCGGCAGGTGCCTGCTGCAGAGGCCTCGGCCAGCGCTCCACGCAGGGCGGTCCTTCAGGAGCCGTGATTGGCAGATATGGCACGTTATTACCTTTTACATCAGCGTTTAAAAAACCTGACTTCATTTTATTTTCTATTTTCTATTTTATTTTATTTTATTTTATTTATTTTATTTTATTTATTTTATTTTATTTTATTTTATTTTATTTTATTTTATTTTTTATTTTGGAGGGCAGGGAGAGGGAAAGAGGGAGAGAGGGAATCTTAAGTGGGCTCCACACTCAGCGTGGAGCCTGACTTGGGGTTTGAACCCAGCGACCCTGAGATCATGACCTGAGCTGAAATCGAGTGTCAGATGTTCGAGCAATGGAGCTGCCTAGGCACCCCAAAACCTGATTTAATTTTTAAAAGTCATCAAAAATCTTTTGTGTCCACACGTGCTGCGTAAGGTAGAGAGAAAAAAACGTCCTGGTGATGTTTTGCATCCTGATTTGAGTAAACCAACTTTAATGACTTAAGTTCATGATACCAGATCTGATGGTGTTTAACGGGTGTGAGGACAGCATTGTAGGTATTCCTAGAAAGCATATGTCTTCTAGAAAGAAATACTAGAATGTTTATGAATGAGGTAACAATGTCTGGGATTTCTTCACGGTGACCACAGTGGTGGAGGAGGGGGTGTGGACAGAAGGATGACATCGAAGTCAGATGGTGGGTGCATAGCGGTTTGTTAAACTACTTTGTAGGGCTTTCAGTTTTCCAAAATTAGGAGAGAAACGTATATACAAGGGGCAGTAAGTAAACAGATGGCATCCAGAAAGCCGCACAGCTGCTGCTAGCTGTGGCCGGGACGCAAGCCATCTTCCCGTGGCTGCCCTCTGCCCCTCCGTGGCTTTCCGTGGGCTTTCTGCACTGGGGTTGACCAGATACCTCCTCCCCGCTAGCCACCGCCAGCCCTGGGGCTGTCCTGCCGTGAGGACGAGGGGGGAGGGTGACCCCCAGGGCACCGTGCACGCTGTGTGCACAGGCACCGTCCCGGCCCGCCAGCCCTCCCCTCTGCAGGCTGTGCTGTGGTCGGTGGTCTTGCCTCTGAACCCCTGCCCCATCCCCCCGCATCCTCACAGCAGAGAGCCCGCACGCAGCCCTGCTGGTAGATCCAGCTGCCCTGCAGCCAGGTGGGGGGCACCTGGAGTGCAGCGCCCGATCTCCTTCCCAGCACGTTCCCTCCACTGCCCCCACACCTGCCTGGGGGGGGCAGGAAGACCTGAGGAGCCCCCACGGGCCCCCCAGCTGAGGCCTCCACTCCCGCCAACCGCTGCTTGATGCTGGGCTGACCCCCAGGAGGGAGAACCAGGCTCCTCCCTCCGGGGTCCCTTCCCCCGGGGTCTCCCTCAGCCACAGGGCAGAGGGATCCTGGGACGCGAGCACACTGGGCATGTGACACGCAGACCCCGGGAGACCCCAGGGCTCCCGCCAGAGCAGCCAGCACGGGCCTCTCTGCATCCTGACCAGCCCCCTCTCCTAGGCCCGCGGTGCCGAGCCCCGCCATGGAGGACGGCCGCGAGCTGGAGCTCACCTACGTCACCGAGCGCATCATCGCCGTGTCCTTCCCCGCCAGCTGCTCCGAGGAGTCATACCTGCACAACCTGCAGGAGGTGACACGCATGCTGAGGTCCAAACACGGGGACAACTACCTGGTGAGTGAGGGGGCATGGGGGGCACTGAGGGCAGGGACGGGGGGAGGGCATGCCCAGCGGGGGGGCGTTGGGGGACTGGGAGAGGGGACAACCAGCATGGGGACGGTGGGGGGGTCACTGAATGCGGGGATGGTGGGGAGACACCCAGTGTGGGGATGGTGGGGGGGGTCACTGAGCTCGGGGATGGGGGGGACCGGGGAAGGGGACAACCAACATGGAGGACGGTGGGGGGGGTCACCGAGTGCGGGGATAGTCGGGGGTCACCGTGCATGGCCATGGTGGTGGGGACACCCAGTGCGAGGATGGTGGGGACTGGGGGAGGGGACCCCAAACGGAGAGATGGTGGGGGGTGACACAGCACAAGGATTGTGTGGGGTACACTGAACATAAGGAGAGTAGGGGAGGGGACACAGAGTTCAGGGACATTGAGCGCTGTGACTGGGAAGACACAGAGTTCCCTGAAATGTGAAGAAACCACCGAGAGTCTTGGGGCGGCCACGGAGCCTGTGGGGTAGATGTGGTCCCTCACTGTGCATCTGGTCGTCTGGGCACCTAGCTTCACGGAGATGTCCCCGGGGCTTCCTCCCACTGGGGCTTTTATTTAACATGCCACCTGCTGTAGCGTGAGGTCACGAGTGTCCCCGGGGAAGTATGGCTGTCCCCTGCCTGCTGCCCTGGCCCTGAGCGCCCGGAGGGTGGGCAGCCGTCCTGGCATGGCAGGTGCTCAGCCTCACGAGGGGCCCCAGCGTCACAAGGGGCCCCCAGTCCCCGTGGGAACGCATCCCCACATCACAGCTCAGCCTCTCCCCGCTGCCTACAGCCTCCCCACAGACCCCGGGGGGAGGGACCCCGGAGGAAGTGTATATGTGACCTCCTGGGGGGAGCCTCCGCTTGGGGGGAAGTGTGGGCAGCGTCTCCTGCACCCCCCGGCTTGCCCTGTGTGTTTCCGCCTCCCTGAGCCGGCCCGTGTGATCTCGGGTTAAATTACAACCCCTCACGCCTCCGCTGCACCTGCCCTGACGGCGTCCTTATCTCCATCAGAGCAGCAAATCCTCGCTCTAAACGACAAGGCCGTTATTGTTCCCTTATCAGTCTCAGATGACTGATCGGCTGCTGCTGCTGTTGGCAAGTGTGGCCCCAGAGGCACAGTGAGCGGAGGTGACCCTGTGTCGCTCCCCGCAGGCTGTGCCGACCTGGAGCGGGGCGGTCAGGGCCAGGCCAGAGCCGCGCTGTCCCGGCTCCTGAGTCCCACGGACACCAGTACTTGGTGTGAGACCTGGCTGCAGGCAGGAGGAAGCCTGTCCCAGCTGAGAAGGGCACACTTGTGTCCCGGGGGCTTCCTTTCTCCCTGAGGCCACCTACCCTGCAGGAACTGTCTCCCCCATCCTTACGCTTGGCCCCCTGAAGGTGTCCTCTGAGACCCAGGAGGGCCCTGGGCCCCAGACGGCATGGGCCCCTCACCAGTGGCTGTAGGGCCAGAGCCTACTCCCAGTGTCCCCCCCACCAACAGTGAGGATAGAGGTACCTGCCTTGTTTTGGGACAGGGACCCTTAGGACCCTTTGGAAATGTCTGAAGAAAGACCCACATGTGTGTCTTTTATAGATCTGAGTTAAGAACCCTGGGTAGGTTCATCTCTTCCCTGTCCGTCTACACCTGCATCCTCTGATGGTTGATCATGGGGCCAGTATAACTAATTGAACCCGCAGACCGTTGAGCAGGGCCTTCCAGGGTGACCAGTCTTATCAGGCAGGTGGGCTGGGGGCTCTGAGGAAAGTTGATGGCCACCCGCATGAGCTGGACAGGCCCCCGCGCTCAGCTGTCTGTCATCCATTCCTACACACATTTCCTTCAGAGGCAGGTGGTGGGTGAAGTGTGAAAACCAGCGGTTTCCTCTTTGATCTCCGGGGACACCGACTTGTCTGATGGCTTTGTCCTTCCCCTTTGCAGGTGTTAAACCTTTCCGAAAAGCGATATGACCTTACGAAGCTTAACCCAAAGGTACGGACTTTAGCCCTTTACATTCTGAGCTTTGTCAAACATCCACGATGCTTATCTCCTTGTGTGGATGCCATTCCTGGCAAGCCTTTGTGGGACGTAATGTCATGAGGGCAATCAGGAACTGCCCTTGTCTGGGGATTATTTTTAAATCAGCTGCTTTAGTCTGAAATAATTACACATGTACAGGAAGTTGCAGAAATATACAGAGAGAGCCCACTTATCCTGCGCGGAACTAATAAGTCATAAAAGGTCAGTGCTGGAAGTTGACATTGGCCTGATCCTCAGACCATGCTCCACCTCTACCAGGTTTACACACGTGCGTGCACAAGTGTGTGTGTGTATGTGTGTGTGTGTGTTTGTTTGTGTGTTTGGTATTTCAACCATCAGGATCTCCCTCCTGCCAGCTGTTGCATTTCTTAGCCGTCAATATTTCAGGGACATTTTTGCAATTGCTTTGTGCTTAAGTGACGGCGTAGATGGTACCCGTGTCCCGTGCATGAGAACGTTCTGCAGGCATCAGGATAGCATCTCAGCTCTGCTACACGAACGTGCACATAAATCTAAGGGTGTCATCAAATCCTAGTGCTGTCCCCCCGAGTGGCGGAAGGAGGTGTGTGGTCTTTTACAGCTTCCTTGCATTTTGCTGAAATTTTCCATCGTTCCATGTTATTTCTGTCACTTCTGGGGAAGAGAGCCCTCCCTTCCCTGTAAAACGGAAAGAAAAATAGGGTTTTGTGTCGCTGGACAGGCTCCAGCATGGACGCTGGTGGCGCGTCCGGTCGCTCAGACGTGGGCTCCGTATTACGCAGTGACGCCCTGCTATGTCCCGGCTCCAGACTGTAGCTGGGGCTCAGAGTGCTTCCTCCTGCGTGGGCCCCTTCTGTTCTTGGAGGCTGTGTTCCTCCCAGGCACGCACAGCAGGCTTTTCTCCGACACGGTGTCTGCGCACCGCGTGGGGAACGCTCCCTGAATTCCCCCAAGCTGCAACTTTCATCTTCCCGGAGGAAGTTTTGGCAGCAGCCCTGGCCAAGAATTCCCATTTCAGATCTGGCCAAGCCTCGGCCCTCGCCGCCAGCCCTGCCCAGCTAGCGGCTCTGAAAGTCCCTTCTAGAATTGCCGTCCCAGCCACAGAAAGAGCAGACAAGATGGCAGTAAACGTCTCAGGGGGAAACATATTCCTTCATGTTTTTCTTTCTGGTGGAGGAGCCTGGCTACGATTTCCAGCAGGTTTTATTTATTTTTGTTTTTTAAAATCAGTTTTATTATTATTATTTTTTATTTTAGAGAGAGCATGGATGTGTGTGCACGAGATGGGGAGAGGCAGAGAAAGAGAGAGAGAGAGAAAGAGAATACTAAGTAGCCTCTGCACTGTCAGCAAAGATCCCCATGTAGGGCTTGAATTCACTACCCCGAGATCATAACCTGAGCTGAAATCAAGAGTCAGATGTTCAACCGACTGGGCTGCCTGGGCACCCTCCCAGCAGGGTTTAGAAGAGGAACCTGGCCCAGCGTCCCCTCGTCTCAGATGAAGTGTAGACAGAAGAGCCATGGTGGGGTGCCCGGTGCCCCCAGTGCCCCCACCAGGACCCTGGGACCCCTGTGTCGTTGCAGATCCTGGACGTGGGCTGGCCCGAGCTGCACGCCCCGCCGCTGGACCAGGTGTGCTCCGTCTGCAAGGCGCAGGAGTCCTGGCTGAACAGTGACCCCCAGCACGTGGTCGTCATCCACTGCAGGGTGAGCGCCACCTTGCACCCAGGGCCGGGGCAGAAGAGGTGGGGTCTGGGGGGGAGGTGGTGCGCACTTCATACCCAAGGCCCGGTCGGCGTCTGCGGTCACGTTTGCACATTTGTCCTTAGAAAGGAAGCGTCGTCATTCCTGCCTCCCAGGGTTTGGTTCCAGAATTTGTGGGACTTGGGTTGCGGAGTGCATAGCTGAACGTTCTGAAACTAATGAAGGGCAGGGAAGATAGCGAGCCGTTTTGTTTTCCTGCATTTTTGGTTATTCTTGGAAAGAAAGAAAGTCTTTAAAAAAATTTTTTTTAAATGTTTGTTTTTGAGAGAGAGAGAGAGAGAACGCGTGCGCACGCACGAGCAGGGAACGGGCAGAGAAAGGAGGAGACACAGAATCTGAAGCAGCTCCAGGCTCTGAGCTGTCAGCACACAGCCCGACGCAGGGTCAGCCCTGCGATGGTCCCGCTCTCCTGTCTGCCCCAATGGGTGCGGGCTGTGGGGCTTTGCCCCCAGTCCCCCTCACCACCCAGCCACCCACCTGCTGGCTGCTGACTGAGCAGAAGGTTCTTCTAGAAGGTTCCAATACCATGCCATCTGGTTTTGAGTCTCTGGTGTGGGACACGCCCTCAGCAAGTTGTGCAGCCGGTGATTCTGACGCCTGTGGAAGACCGACAGCTTTGGGGTTCAGCCCTTTGGGATCTTGTGCGAGCACTGAAGAGACAGTGACTGGCCGAGCACGGTGGCCGTGGATGTCCCATGAGTGGCCAACCGGGCCGAGGTGCTGTTTGCTGGCAGTGGGTCACTGGTGTGTGTCTACGTCCTGACTTGCAGGGACAGAGAGGGGCCTGCTCCGGGGTACATTCCCTCGCGGCGTGGGTCCTCAGAGGTGTGACCCGGACCTCCTCGGCCGTTTCTTCTCAAGGATAGGCGTGGGTCCCTGGTGGCCCTGCCCATTTGGCTTCCCATGCTCCTATGTCTGGGTTGGCTAACCCTTCGTGGAAATCCCAGACAGTGAATATTTGGGGCTTTTGCGGGTGCCTGCAGGGTTGCCGTAACTGCTTGCACCTGCCATGGACGGTGGACCTGGCCCCTCGTGCACCTAAACAGATAGGTGTGGCTGGGGTCCCGTTAAACAGTGACTGGAGCTTCAGGTGACTGTCACGTGTCCCAGAATGTCATAGTTCTGAACTTTCTTCAACTGTTCAGAAACATACTACATACTCCTTGGCTGCATGGACCCAGGTGGTGGGCAGAAGTGGCTCGTGGAGTGTGGTTTGCTGACCACTGAGCTGGGTTGTGGCAGTATGTTCTAGAAGGCGGCAGTCCATGGCTCAGTGCAGGTGGCCTGTCATGGCGGTGGTGTTTCTACATACTGGGTCCTGTGGGTCACGTTGGCCCATGGTTCTTGCTGGCTGCCGCGTCTGGGCTGTGTGACTCTGTGGTCAGAGACTGAGCCCCTTCGTGTCTGGCCACGGTGCTGTGTGTCACTGGGCGGGGCTGGGTGAGCGGGGCCGGGTGAGGTGGGGTCGGGTGGGGGGCCCGGGTACACAGGGGTGCATGAGCAGAGCTGCATGAGCAGGACTGGGTATGTGGTGGTCGGGGTGCATACTGCGTGCACTGCCCTCATAACCTCAGCCTGTGAGGTGGGTGTTCAGCTCACCTGTACTGCGTCCTGTGTGCGTCCCACCCCGCACTTGCTGCTGGTCCCCAGTGGGAAGAAGCGAGCTGACTGGCCACCTCCCTGCAGATCTGCCCAGGGGGCACCTGCCACCGGCACCCTGTGTGCACGGTCCCTGCTGGGCTGCCATCCCCATATCAGGGACTGGAGGAAGCTGGTGGGGGCTCCCCCTCGCCCCACTGCAGAGTGGGCTCTTTGTTGTCCCGTGAGCGTTCCATCTCTGCCCTGGGAGTCTACAGAAACCGAGTCCCTCTCTCGTCTCCTGCAGGGCGGAAAGGGACGCATCGGCGTGGTGATATCGTCCTACATGCACTTCACCAACGTGTCCGCCAGGTACGAGGGGCGTCCTTGGGCATCCGTGGCTCCAGGACAGGGCGGGAGGCTCAGACGGCCGGCGCCCCCAGCTGCCCCCTCACTGCAGGGAAAGCAGCACCCACTGAGGGTTCGCGCCGCTGAGAAGGATGCACGGGTGTGTGACTCATACCCAGGTTGCCGTGAAGCAGCTGTTGTGTGCTCTGTGGATCCCTCACGAAAACAGCAGGGATGGGCATCACCACGCAGCCTCCCTGGCTACCTCACACCCTGTAAAGACCAGTGGCCATGGCCATGGCAGTTTGCCTGTCCTCAGCCTCTGGAATGTACTGTGCAAAATTTTGTCTTTGGTCCCTCAGTCTTTCTGAGTAACCCAGGGCATGAACCTAGTCACCATTCACGCTTTACTGATGGGAAAACTGAGGCTCGGGGAGGTGTCTCAGGTCCCGTCTGGTCTCTGGGGGCCGGAAGAGCCGCCACGGGACCCTTGGCTGGGACATCGGGCACAGGAGGCTGGCAAGAACCTCCTGGGGCGTACCATGCGTGCCAGAGCCTGGTCCAGAAACGTTGTCCTTGTGGGTTTGTGGGAGCTGCCCTTCTGAGCGCACACAGGCCCTGTTCACAGCAGCCCCTCGGATCCTGGCCTTGCAGGGGCCAAGGTTGAAATCTGACTCCCCACGTGTTATCTCTGGACGAAGACGGGGAGCATGGCTGCGAGGGGCAGGGGGAGCCCAGCCCCTGGTGCAAACCAGCTCCTTCCTCGCTGGTGACCTGCATCTGTGTGTGCCAGACACCGAGGTTCCTGCTCACGTGGGGTCCCTCCACTGAGCCACAGTGTGCAGCGAAGACCGCGTGTCGCCTGCAGGGCATCGCCTGCCCATTTCTGCTGCAGCGACACGGCTGCACCCAGAGCCCGGGCTCTGCAGGTAGGGGCTCACCTGGCAGCATAGGGGCACAGAGTCCCCGTAACTCCCTTCCCCTTCATGGATCCTGGATTTCTCTGCAGTGTCGGTTCCCATCGCCACTGCAGGGTCAGGCCGTTTTTGTGAATCTCGAAGCCTCGGGGTCCTCGCCTGTGAAGGGGGAGGAGTGGCTGAGCTTCATGGGGGTTTTGTGACTGTAAAGCACATCGTGGTGTAATATCCAGTACCAGTACTCGGGTATTAGCTGCTGTCAAGGCTGTTGGCAGTCATATGAGTAACAGTGTTTATGTACTTCTCGATAAAACGAAGCAATACCCTGCCTTTCTATTTTCTTAAAATTTTTTTAAATGTTCATTTGAGAGAGAGAGAGAGAGAGAGGGAGAGGGAGAGACAGCGTGAGCAGGGGAGGGGCAGAGAGAGAGGGAGATACAGAATCCATAGCAGGCTCCAGGCTCTGAGCTGTCAGCACAGAGCCCGATGCAGGGTTCAAACCCATGAACTGCGAGATCACGCCCTGAGCTGAAGTCGGACGTTTAACAGACTGAGCCCCGCCCCGGTGCCCCAAAACCCTGCCTTTCTAAATTAACACTCTCTCCGGAATATGTTCCCTACAACATGGAAGTGGCCACACAGTCCCTGAATGAATGCATTGTTAGGTATTTAAGCACTGGTGATTTTCCCCATCCAGGTCACTTCTGGTGATTCCCTGCTCTGACCGAGCCGTGACCAGCAGCATGTCCTTACTCTCTTTGATCGTTACCGTCCCACCCCTAGATGACAGTCCCAGAAGCAGTCCCAGGGAGCACGCATTTTGTAAAAATTTGTTAGATTTATTTATTTTGAGAGAGAGTGAATAAGTGGGGGAGGGGCAGGAAGAGGGAGACACAGAATCAGAAGCAGGCTCCAGGCTCTGAGCTGTCAGCACACAGCCTGACGTGGGGCTCAAACCCACAAACCGCGAGATCATGACCTGAGCTGAAGTTGGATGCTTCACTGCCTGGGCCCACCTAGGCGCCTCTGGAACATACATCTTAAGAGCTCTGTCATTGAACTGTACTCCGGATCGAATCCGAAACCAGAAATGAGTAAGTGGGTAGAAAGCTCTTGTGTCTGCTTCCTCCAGACAAATGATCGCAGAGCCAGAGGGCGGGAACGCCACCAGTGCCAACAGTGATGTTAATACCACACAGGCAAGGGCCCAAATGCACGGTCATGTCCACATGTAGTGGGACCCGTGAGCTCCGGGGCAAGGATTGCTCACAGGAGAATGGGGGGATAAGGATCCGTACTTTTCAGCAGGAAAGCAGAAGTCCTCAACGTGGTAAATACCCCTCAGGGGGCCTTCCGCCGCCCCAGCCTCAGACAAACACAGGGGGTGAATAAATCACCCATTTTCTGGGGGCGCACATCCACGCCATAAGGGGAGGCCCACGCGTAGATCACGTTTGCTACCACTGCTTGTGCCCATGTTCTGCGATGGATCTGAGGTCAGATCAGGCAGGCCCGCAAACGCCCCGTTACGGGGTCTCCTGGATCCTGCCGCATGCGCTGGGGGGCATTGTGGAGCTGAGGGACTGTCGGCGAGCAGCGTCCCTTGTGGCGGCCACCTTGGAACCATGATGCGCAGCCTGCTGACCCCCTGTGGGCTCTCTGGGCACTTGTGGGGAGTCGCTGACCGCGGTGCTGACTGTGCCCGAACCCTCATGACCCAGAGACTCACGCAGAGTGCCCTGAAGCTGCCTGCTGTTGGGGACGGCGCTCCAGACCCGCGGGCCTGGCTTCCCCTGTGGCCCGAACATACTCTTGGGATTGGGGTCCAGGAGGAGACTAAGCAAGGGTGTGTGTGCACGGGCACAGCAGAGGTGGGGCTCCTGTGGGGACCGGTTGCTCAAGACGACCCTACCACCTGCCCAAGCCTCCCGGCCACCTGTGATGTCCACGGGGTTAACACTGCCTCTGTCTCTCTCTCCCCTTCCCCAGTGCTGACCAGGCCCTGGACAGATTCGCCATGAAGAAGTTCTATGATGATAAAGTTTCAAATTTAATGCAGCCGTCCCAGAAACGGTATGTACGGGTTCCCTGTCCCCGAGCCACAGGGAACAGCTGGGTGAGGTTTCACCCTTTAGAAGGTGGGGACAGAAGAGGCATCTCCACTGACCAGCCGAGAATGGGAGGGGAGGGCTGGCGGGTGCCCGGCGGTGGAGCAGAGCCGCGGTGTGTGGGTGCAAGGGGGTCCCCCGCTGCAAGGGAGCTCCCCACTGGCTCTGGGAGGGGGACCCAGGCGTCCTTTCCCACACACTCAGTGCACATGTGGGTGTGTGCTGTGACATGGGAACTGGTTTCTGACTGCGGGGTTAGGTTGGGTTGGTGAGCTGTGTCTGTAACTGGCCGGTGAGGGGAGGTTCTGGGCCGCGCAGACCACATGGTCTGTGTCACGGCTGTCCTGACGGGAGAGCACACGGGCACCCAGAAATTAGTAAACGTGGCTCTGTGGACGAGTGTGTAGTTGGCCCTGAGCCCTGCGCTAGACGGTCAGCTCCTGAGCCCGGGAGGGGGGTGTCCGTCCATCACGTTGGCCTCCCTGGCCGGCCCACCTTCCCATCTCTGACCCGAGGTCGCTCAGTGTGCGGGGTTGGAGGGCCCTGGGGGAGTGGACACCACCCTCCGCGCCCATCTGAGGAAGGCAGGACGGGGTCAGGGACCAAGGAGGGGGGTCATGGCTGGCTTCCTCCTCCCAGACCCACTTCTGTGCCAACGGCGACATGGAGCCAAGCACATAGTCTCTGTGCTTTTATTTAAAAAAAAAAAAAAAAAAGGGGTGTGTGTGTGTGTGTATGTATATATATATATATATATATATTTAATGTTTATTTTATTTTGAGAGAAAGGGAGAGAGAGAGAGACAGAGACAGAGTGTGAGTAGGGGAGGGGCAGAGAGAGAGGGAGACACAGCATCTGAAGCAGGCTCCGGGCTCTGAGCTGTCAGCACAGAGCCTGCCTGATGTGGGGCTCGAACCCATGAACCAGTCAGAGGCTTAACTGAATGAGCCACCCAGGTGCCCCCAGATTATCTTTTCAAGTAGGTGTTTTTGTTTTCATTGGGAAAATACCCACACGAGGAGTTACTGGACCATATGGTAGTTCTATTTTTAACATTTTGAGGAACCTCGACACTTTTCCGGAGAGTCCGCACCAGTTTGCATTCCCACCAACAGTGCAAGGGGGTTCCCGTTTCTCCGAATCCTCACCAACACCTGTAGTTCTTTGTGCAGTTATTTTAGCCACTCTGACAGGTGTGAGGTGGTATCTCGTTGTGACTTTGATTTGCATTTCCTCGATGATGAGTGACATGGACCATCTTTGCAGTCTTTGCGTGTGTCTGTGGGCCATCTGGATGTCCCTTGGAGAAGTGTCTGTCTGTGTCTTCTGCCCATTTTCAATTGCATTATTGGGGTTTTTTTGTTTTTTGTTTGTTTTTGTTTGCTTTTGTTTTTTTTTGTTGTTCTGGGGTTGTATCACTTCTTTGTGTATTTTCGATACCAACCCCTTATCAACCATACTGTTGCAGGTATCTTCTCCCGTTCAGTGGGCCGCCTCGTCCTTTTGACGATGGTCTCTTCCATTGTGTGGAAGCTGCATTAGTTTGATGTGGTCCCTCGTGTTTATTTTTGCTTTTGGTGTCCGATTAAAAAAATAATCACCAAGATGATCTTCTAGGATTTTTATGGTTTCAGGTCTTATGTTCAAGTCTTCAGTCCATTTTGAGTTCAGTTTTGTGTAAGACAGCGGCCTGTTTTCTCAACACTGTTCCTTGCTGAGACTGTCTCCTCATTCCATCTTGTGTTCTTGGTTCCTTTGTCATACACGAATTGACCGTACACACGTGGGCTTATTTCTGGGCTCTCTCCTCTGTCCCATTGATCTGTTTTGATGCCAGTACTCTATTGTCTTGATTGGTACAGTTTTGTAACTTACTTTTAAATCGGCAAGTGTGATGCCTCTGGCTTTGCTATTTTGTCTCAAGATTGCTTTGGCTACTTGGGCTCCTTTGTGGTTCCATACAGATTTTAAGGTTTTTTTTCTTTGTTTGTTAGTTGTTATTTCTGTGAAAAAATCCTGTTGGAATTTCGTTACGGGATTGCATTGGATCTGTGAATTGCTTTTGGTAAGATGAACATTTTAGTAATATTTGGTCTTCTCAGTATGTGAGCATGGATGGAACTTTTCCCATTTATTTGTGTTTTCAGATTTTTCCATCGATGTCTTACATTTTTCAGCATACTAGTCTCCCACCTCCTGGGTTAAATTTATTCCTAGTTGTTTTATTCGTTTTGGTGCAACTGTGAATGGACTGTTTCTTTCTCTTTCTTTCTTTCTTTCTTTCTTTCTTTCTTTCTTTCTTTCTTTCTTTCTTTCTTTCTTTCTTTCAGTTTATCCTCAGAGAGACACAGCATGAGTGGGGGAGAGGCAGAGAGCGAGGGAGACAGAGAATCCCAAGCAGGCTCCGTGCTGTCAGCGCAGAGCCTGACGTGGGGCTTGAACTCAGGAAACCGCGCGATCATGTCCTGAGCGGATACCAAAAATCGGATGCTTCACTGACTGAGCCACCCAGGTGCCTCTGGGCTGTTTCTTAATTTCTTTCTGCTAGTACCTTCTTAAATGTGTAGAAATGCAGCCTGTTGGTGTATGTTAACTTCGCATCCTGTAACTGTATGAAATTCATTTATTAGTTCCAACAATTTTGAAGGTTTTCTATGTATAATATTGTGTCGTTTGCAAACCATGACAGTTTTCAATCTTTCTGACTTGGATGCCCTTTATTTCTGTTTCTTGTCTGATTGCTGTGCCTAGGACTCCGACCCTGTTGAATAAAAGTAGCAAGAGTGGGCGTCCTTGACTTGTCCCTGCTCTTGGAGAAGAAGCTGTCTGCTTCTCCCCATTGAGTACAATGTTAGCTGTGAGTTTGTCATGTGTGGCCTTCGGTACGTGGAGGGGACCTCCTTCTGTACCCACTTTGTTGAGACGTTTTATCATAAACAGATGTTGTGTTTTGTCCAGCGTTTTTTTTTTTTTTTTTTTTTCTTTCACATGGTTTTTTTTTTTTTTTACTCAAAATGCTCAGCGCCCACCAAGGATGAACATTTGCCTTATTTTCTTCTTTTTTGTTCTTAGGATTTACTGTAACTTAAAAAAAAATAATTATNGTGGCCTTCGGTACGTGGAGGGGACCTCCTTCTGTACCCACTTTGTTGAGACGTTTTATCATAAACAGATGTTGTGTTTTGTCCAGCTTTTTTTTTTTTTTTTTTTTTTTGCATCTGTCGACGCCGTCACATGGTTTCTATTTCTATCCACTCAAAATGCTCAGCGCCCACCAAGGATGAACATTTGCCTTATTTTCTTCTTTTTTGTTCTTAGGATTTACTGTAACTTAAAAAAAAATAATTATCTAATGTTTATGCATTTTTGGGAGACAGAGCGTGAGCAGGGGAGGGACAGAGGGAGAGGGAGGCACAGAATCCGAAGTCGGTTCCAGGCTCTGAGCTGTTAGCACAGAGCTCGATACGGGGCTCGAACCCACGAACTGCGAGATCATGACCAGAGCTGAAGTCAGCCGCTCAACCGACCGAACCACCCAGGCGCCCCTACCGTAGCTTTTTAACAGGAGTGCAACAGTGTGGAAAACGGAAGCATGCCTTCTCTCCTTCGCAAACCCATGCCTTGCACGTGTACATCCTGTCAGTACGCGGCAGAAGCTGTAGCCTCTGCGTTGCGTCACAGTTGTGTGTGCTCCATTCTGCGTTCCTGGGTGAATGTCCCTGCACCCACAGATGAGCTGTGTTCCCACCCGGCTCCCGCACCCGCAGATGAGCGTGCTCCCCACCCATTCTCGAGAGGGCAGATGACTGAGTGCGTGTGTACAATATACCTGCAGGCACTTTGAGGCCTGAAGGGCCCCGGATGGCCACATCTGTGTGACGGGGCTGTGAGGGGACCCCCTCCCTCCCTGTGGTCCCGGCCGGCCTGAGAGGGAGCTTCTTAGCCCACATCAGGACGGAGTTCAAGAAACCATTTCAAAATGGGTTCTGTGGCGAGTGGAGCAGTTAGCTTGCTGGGGTTTGTGGCCCCAGGAGGCGTGGGGCCTCAACAACGGGCTTCCTCCAGGCTCTCACCCAATTCATCCTTGGTCACCAGCCTGCAAGGCAGGTCCCTATTTGACAGGGGGTGAATTCTCTGCCACTCTGTTCCTTACTCTTTTTTTTTTTTTAATTTTAATTTATTTATTTTGAGAGAGAGAGACAAAGAGAGGGTGAGCAGAGAAGGAGCAGAGAGAGAGAACCCCAAGCAGGCCCTGCACTGTCAGCACAGAGCCCGACATGGGGCTCAAACTCACGAACTGCAAGATCATGACCTGAGCCAAAACCTAGAGTCGGACATTTAACCCATGAACCCCCCGGGGCGCCCCTGCTCCTTACTCTTAAAAGCCACAGAGCAGTCGGCCTATGGCTGACGCTGAAGAAACCCTTGCTGACGCATGGGGCTTGCGGAGGAACTTGGTGTTCATTTTGTTTTGATAAGTAATTGGAAACACTCTTCTGCAGTCTCAGCTTCTCATTAGCACCGTGGACGTGATGGATAAAAGATCAGAGTTTCTGTACCTTCTCCTCCACACTCTTTTTTCCGGGGGGAAGTCGAGACAGCGGCACACGTGTCCGGACCCCTTCAGGGAGGGCCAGCGGGGCCAGCGGACCTTCCCAGGGGCTCAGGGCAGAGGGGGTTCTGAGGAGGGGACGTTCCTGTGTCCGACCCTGCCTCGTACAGGGACTGGAGCCCCGCTTCAGATTCGTAGGGTTGTCTCAGGGCTGAACGTTTCCCAGTATAGCTTCATTCAGCTTTAACATTTCTATATTCTAGACATGATGCCTTGTGTGTCTGAAAGATCATTTGCATGGGAGGCGGGGCAGGTGCTAGGGGACCAGGTGCCCATCATCTCTCCTCGGGGCGTGTGCCCGCTGCGGCCAGCAGGCTTCCTCTGGTTGGAGCCAGGCTGGCCCCCATGCCCTCCTGTGTTGTGCTGCCAGGGACGGGAGCGCTGAGAAGCACAGGTAACCCACAAGCTCAGCTCCCACAGACGGGATGAGACTGCGTCTCCCCACCATTCACGCAGCCTGGGAGCGCCGTGGAAGACAGACGTGTCCTTGCAGTGGCTCCTTCTGCTTTCCCCTGTGACGTGGTCACGCCGGCTCTGATCTACGCACGTTCCCAGGGAGATCTGAGCCTGTCCAAGCACAGGTCACGTGTGTAAGGAGAATCCAGGGGACTCCAACTGTAAATTTCCGCTTTGGCGGCGGCTAGGCAGCGTGGCGAATGTTGTCACGTCTCCAGCTGCTTTGGCACAAGGTGCCGCATGCGTCCCCCACCCCCTGTACACCCGCCGCATCCGCACCTCCTCACTACGTGAGATGATGCGCAGAACACGACCTCTCAGGGAGTTTCTTCCCTCGGAAGGAGGAGGCGATGGTGGGAGACAGCGGGCGGCCAGGGCCCACCCACTCCTTCCTGCATACCCCTTTGCCGCCGCAGGTACCACTGCAGCCAACGCCCACCTTCCTGTGGTCTGGTCTGCTGGATGAACTGATCGTGAAGCCCTTTCATTTGCTTTTGTGTCCCCCATCCACCCGAGGACAGAGTGTCTCGTCTTTGGTGGTGACGGTGGTTTCCAGGTGGAAGCCGTGGATCGTGGCCTAGCTACTGTCCCCCGCATCCGGCCTCCACTGGCTCGGACGCTGGCCCCGGCAGCAGCAACCCACCAAGCCTGCGGTGCACGCGGTTGTTGTCACAGGCATTCTCGCATATGCTGACGCTTTGGGGACAGTGGACGAGGCCGCTCCAGAGACATATCCATAGAGATTCAGCACATGTGGTGCTGTATGAGGTTTTCTTACCCCTCTCTGCGTGCGCGCTGGAGTAAAATCGGGGTGTACAGAGGAGATCTGAGTGGACTGTCATCCTGCACCGTGAGGAGCCCCAGGGCCAGCGCTGTGCGGGGACTGGCCAGCAGATGGGCACACGGTGGCGGGCATACCCGGGGCCGCTGGCCACCCACCTGCCAGTCAGCCTGTGGGGCCCAGAGACAGGAAGGGGTGACGAGCTGCCTCTGGCTGCTATCCTGACCTGCGGGGTCGGGGTCTCAGGCTGGCGCGGCCTGTGCTGAGCCTTTGTGATGCAGGAGCCGTGGACTCGTGATTGTCACAGCTGGGGGGATGGGCATGGTGCAGCCTCTACTCTGTCCCCACACTGGTGCTTGTCTCAGGAGCCGGGCGGTCTGCCGAGGGGTGGATGGGATTGGTTGTTTCCTGAGGGTGTTTCTGGTCTCGGGCTTGCTTATTGTACACCCCACGGTGACCTCCACTGTGTCAGCACCATGTCTGCTTGGCCATGGGCCCTCTGGCCATGCGCATCAAGGAGCCCATCCAGGGTTTTCACGTGAGGTGGGAGGTGAGGGCGGAGTGTCTCCTCACCTGTGGGGGGACCATGACAGCCCCGTGGCCTGGCCCCATGTGGCTCTGGGCTGGGGCTCAATGGAGGGGCTGCCTGCAGTGTGGGGCATTCAGGGATCCTGCTACGGTGGCGTGCGCGAGCCGTGGCCCCCAGGGTTACACGCGGATGCCGAGGCCCACTGCGCTGTGAGCGGTGGGGGCTGGGACCCCTCCCGGAGCCTGGGAAATGCCCGGCGTGGGGGCAGCGCCGTGAGGGCGCTGCGGACCCTGAGCCGCTGCCACTCTGCAGGTACGTGCAGTTCCTCAGCGGGCTCCTGTCGGGGACGGTGAAGATGAACACCGCGCCACTCTTCCTGCATTTCGTCATCCTGCATGGCACTCCCAACTTCGACGCAGGCGGGGGTGAGTGTCCGCTCACGGCGGGGGCTCAAGGACGGGCCCCGTGGGATCCGCACCCCGGGCGTCCTGGTCTCCGGCCGGAGAAAGCTGTCTGTGTGTGTAGAGGGGGGTCCCCACCTTTCCCCAGGGGCTCCATGACCCTTGCTCCAGCGCTGCTTCCCCGAAGCTCGGGCATAGCCCGCGGCCACCCGGTCTCTCTGGCTGTTCGCCACACTCCCGTGTCCACGGTCCCGCCTCTGTAGACAGCTCCGCCTCTCTTCCAGTGTGCCGGCCCTTCCTGAAGCTCTACCAGGCCATGCAGCCCGTGTACACGTCGGGGATCTAGTAAGTGTGCTGCCTTCACGGGGACAAGCCTCCCCAAACTGCCAGTCCCGCGGGAAGGGGTGGGGGCGGCCAGCGGGGAGGGCCTGGCCAGCGGTGGAGGCAGGTGCCTGGGTGGCCTCCGAGAGGGGTGTAGACACAAGGCCTGGAGGGCAGGGAGGCCTGCACACCATCTGGAAGTAGCCATACCGGAGTCCTTTGCCTTTGTCACCCCTGTGCATTTTATTTTCATTTACTTATTTTTTATGTTTTTTTTTTCTTTGAGAGAGAGTGCAAGTGGGGGAGGAGCAGAGAGAGAGAGAGAGAGCGTGCACGCTCGCGTGCCTGAGAGACAGAGGTCGAGCAGGGGAGGGGCAGAGAGAGGGGGAGACAGACTCTGAAGCAGGCTCCAGGCTCCGAGCTGTCAGCACAGAGCCCGATGCGGAGCTCGAACCCATGAACTGTGAGATCATGACCTGAGCTGAAGTTGGACGCTTAACCTTCTGAGCCCCCCTAGACATGCCCCTCCTCTCCCCGTACATTTTAGACAAACAGCAGACACACATCCTGGGAATTTGTATGAGTTTCTGGGCTTTTCTGGTTTGCTTTTGTGTGCGTGTTCGTGTTTTATGAGCATTAATGGAAAGCACGTCAGGTAAGACGTGGCCTTACTGAGCAGCCACCGCTCAGAACCAGCTGTGGTCCCATGTCTGGACTGCCTGTGGACCCACACGTGGCTGGCAGCTGGCAATGCTCATCGGGTTATCACGAAGTGCACGGTCTGCGCTCCTGCACGCTGCCTGCGCCGCTGCTTTCGTGAGAGAGACCCTCTGGAGTGCATGTTTTGCGTTCCCTCTGAGTTTATGTTCTGAGATCACTTTTCTCAAACAGTGTGTCTGTTAAGTCATGAAAGTGCATTCAGCTCTAACTTCTTGTTCATCCCCAAGCAACGTCAGCCCCGGAAGCCAAAGCAGTATCCCCATCGCCATTGAGCCGGCACAGCTGCTCAAAGGAGACATCATGGTGAGTGCACGCAGCATGTCCCTCTCCTGGGTGTTGCCCGAGGAGGGCAGATGGCCTGTTGTCTGAGTATTTTATTCATTTATTAAGGTTTTTAATGTTTGTTAATTTTTGAAAAAGACAGAGGGAGAGCAGGGGAGGAGCAGAGAGAGAGACACACACACAGAATCCCAAGCAGGCTATAGGCTCCGAGCTGTCACCCGGTTCTGGGATGAGATCAGCTGCTACATTTTGGCTTTTTCTCTGTCTTGAACATGGAAAGAATTTTCCATCTCATGAATTTTAGAGAAATTTGCCACAAGGGAAAAGTTGAGGCACCCTGGCTTCCCACACACAGATTTGTTGTAGGGTCCCTGAGGTCTGGGGACAGCTGTGACCACAGGCTCATCCAAAGCTTTCGAAGAATCTTATCAATTTCCCTCAAACCTTTGGATTTTTATTTTCAATTCTTATTTATATTTTTGGGAGAGGGAAGAGAGCACGCGTGCACAAGTGAGAGAGGGACGGAGGGAGAGAGAGAATTTTAAGCAGGCAGCACGCTCAGCACAGCCTGATGTGGGGCTCGATCCCACGACCCTGGATCATGACCTGAGCCAAAATCAAGAGTCAGATGCTCAAGTGACTGAGCCTCCCAGGCGCCCCTAAGCCTTTGGATGTTAAAGGTTGGCCCATCGTGAATTCTCACGTAAGTCAGGTCAGGGGTGTCGCAAACACAGGTGCCCTGGGGCACAGACATAACACTGCTGTGTCTCTGTGAGAGGCGTCTGCAGGTGCCCGTCGCAGCCAGCATGTCCCCTGTCCCTGGGGACCTCGACGTGGAGGGCTGGTGTCCTTATTCCACAGGTGGAGAGCGGAAGAGTCGGGGGGGTCCGCTGTGTGGCATTGTCCCCAGGAGCAAAGGCTTCTCTTCTAGATTGTTTTGAGAGCAGCTCCCTGCCTCCCCACTTTGGTGGGGAGTCCGATGGGGAGGGGAGGGTGTGTCTGCCTTCTCCCTGGGCAGCCACGGGGCGTGTCTCCCAGGACCTCCATGTTGTTGGCCACCGGGCAGAGCAGTGGTTGAGCACCTGCTGTGTGCCGGACCTGCCCCCCTGCCCCCCAGGGCTGCACATGGCTGTGGCTTCCGTCTGCCCACCAGCTCCGTGCATGGGTCTAGTGTTCCAGCTTCGAAAAGAAGGTGGAGGGATCAGGAAAGAGAGGCTAGAGGGGATGCTGTTAGGACGGCATCCGGGTCCCCGGGTCCCCGGGCCCCTGCTTCTGGCACAGCAGCGGCCATGTCCCTTGTGAGGACCCAAGGGAGGCGGCCCTGCCATGTGGGAAGGACGGCTCTCAAACACAGGAGGCCTCCCTCCCCACCTGCTCGTGGGCTGGTGGCTGCAGGGTCTTTGTAATGTGGTGGGGGGCCTAACCAGTGGCCTGGGTCCCTCATCACCTCCCCCTTCCTCCTTCCTCCCTCCTCCCTCCCACACACCCTTCCCATCCCCTCCCTCCCTCCTTCCTCCCTTACCAGGAATTTACTTACGCAACTGCCCTGCTTTGACTGTCCTGAGCTTTCTGGGTCTCTGTGTAGGGCCCTGGCACAGGAAGGAAGGGAGTGACAGGGCAACATCTTTGTCCCGGAGGAGGCTGGCGGGGACCGTGGGCCTTCTGTGGGAGACGGGTCCCAGGATGGGCCCCGGTGGGTGAGGCGGGTGCAGGCAAGCGGCAGGGGGCACAGGGGTCCCAGGCCTCGAGGTGCCACCGGCTTTCTGGATGTGCCCAGAGGTCCTGGTGACAGCCAGCCTGAGCCGGGCTGTGCAGGCTCGGGGTTGGCGGTGCTCTTGCGGGGAAGCTGGCGTTCCTGCTCGCCTTGGAGGGTCACCATTGTTGGGGCCCGAGGGAGAGCAGCAGGGGGCCGGAGCGGCTGGGACTCGGCCTCAGCGAGAAGCGTGGGCCACCCTACACAGCCGCAAGTGGGTGCTGTCCGTGTCCTCAGGACCGGCCCTGGGCCCTTACATCGGGACGCCCATGGACTCTTGGGCCCGTGGGGTCTGGGTGCCTGGGAGGTCCCCCTCTGTGACCTCGAAGCCCCCTTTGGCCAAGTGAGGACCCCCACGGGGTGAGGGGGGCCCGGATACCCAGCTCCACCAGCGAGTGTGGGTGGTGGGGAGCTGGGGAGGCCACAGCCCTACCCCGGATGCCCACAGGCCCTGGCCACGGGCCTGTGTGTGTGCCGCCTCGGGGGCCCGAGGAAGCAGGTCTCCTGGGGTGCAACTGAGAAGTGGCGTGGGAGTCCTCGGAGGGGTCTGGCTCGCTGGCTCTTGGGGACTGGGAGGGAGGTCGGGAGGGAGGTCGGGTGGGGAGCTGGTGGGGGCTCATAGCGAGACTGCCCCCGTGACGTCCCTCTGGCTGGAAATTGTCCTGTGTGCTGGGGACGCTGCTGCCTCTGCGGCATTCACGTGACGAGCGTGCCTCTGGGCACCTGCCAGATGCGTGACAGGTATCTGTCACCGTGTGCATGTGGCCCCCATGGTCTCGGGTGTACTCCTGAATGGATCTGATGGAGTGGCTGTGTGGGACTAGCTGTGGCGTCTGGCTCTGTCCCGGGCCTCCTTTGCTATGGTGGGAAGTCCCAAAAAGTCAGTTGGCGCTTCTGTGGAAATTTCATTCGCAGCGCACTTGTGAGCTGCCCGGGGCCGAGCAGAGGCATCCAGAGGCCCAGGCTGGGGCTTGTGCCTCGTCTTCCCGCTCTCCCTGCAGGCCCTCACTGCCCTCGCTCCCTTCCGCACCGTGCGGGACCCCAGGTCCCCCCTGCCCCATGCCCACCAGTCGCTAGCACCCACACACTGGTTTCTGGGGGCCTCTGTGCCCCCCCATCCCACCCAGTCCCGAGCCGCCCTCCCGCCTCCTGAGTCCAGTGTGACGGTGCGTCCCTGGAGCTGTGCTTCACGCCCTGGGACCCTGTATGCGCATAGCATTGTTGCGATGACTCAGCACCGTCCTGCATTGGGGGGGGTCCCCAGAGGCTTCCTGCCCCCTCATCATTCGTCCCCTGAGAGGCTGCATTCTGTGGGGACCAGTTCTTCTTGGTCTTCTCCATTGTGGGGGGTGTCCGTGCTGACCCTGTGGGCTATGATCTACATCTGCCCTGTCGCCAGAGACGCCTCTATGTGTCGTGTTCGGTGATGCCGGGATCTGTCCACAGCCTGTCACTGTACTTGCCCAGGACAGTGGCCCGGCCTCCCAGAGAGCCGGGGACGGGGGCCGCTGGGCTCACGCCTAAGGCCAGAGGCCAGAGCAGGCTGGCCGGCTGGGTCTCCACCGTGTTGTGCTTCTGTGCCTGAGGTTGCTGGCCTCTGGGGTGATGTTTGGTCCCTTGCTGCCCCCACCCCCAGTTGCCAGCTTGTGTTTCCAGGAGAAGAGCCCACGGAGATGTTCTGGCTGCTGTCACAGGAGACGGTTGTCCCCACAAAGCGGCCCCTCCCCAGCTTTGTGTGTTCCCGCCGCCATGGGGTATTTTTAGCCCCCGCTGTCAGGACTGTTAGTTGACGGATGTTTCCTGTGTTGACGATTCATTTCTGTGTGCTCTGCACTTGGTCTCCGCAGCGTTATCAGATGGGGGGGGGGGGTGCTCCAGCTGGGAAGGGGTATTTTTCCATCACACGGGGTGACTGTCCCCTGTGCCACTCACGGAAATGAGTCCCTGAGACGGTCAGTTCAGGAATGTATCTCTGAGAGACCTAAATGGAGTTTGAACCTCTTGGGTTAGTTTCCCAGCTGACCTTTCTTTTTTTAAGTTTTTATTTATTTATTTTTGAGAGAGAGAGAGAGCACAAACAGGGGAGGGACAGAGAGAGAGAAACAGAGAAGCAAATATTTAATAAACAAGTGAGTACATGAAGGAATAACGACCCAAATCAGACACATAAGTGTAAGAGGGTCTACTTTCTTTTTTTCCGTTTTGAAATTTATTTATTTTGAGATGGAGAAAGAGAGCACACGCAAGCAGGGGAGGGGCAGAGAGAGGGAGAGAGAGAATCCCAATCGGGCTCCAAGCTGTCAACATGGAGCCTGATGGGGGGTTCAAACTCCCAAACCGTGAGATCGTGACCTGAGCCAAAACCAAGAGTCGGACGCTCAGTGGACTGAGCCCCCCCCCCAGGTGTCCCCATATCTCTTCTTCCTACAAGACACCAGGCAGAGGGGCCCGGGGTCCGTCCTCGTGACTTTATTTACCTTAATCTCCTCTTTAAGGATCCTATCTCCAGACACAGCCCGTTCTGAGGGTTTTGGCCTCAACACATGACTTTGGGGGGGCAGACGCAACCCAGCCCATCAGCCCTGTGCCCGTTAGCAACCCTGTCCCGGTGAGATTAGCAGTGAAGTCACAAACAGTGGGTGACGATGGGCCGCCAGCGCGCACTCCGTCATTCATGGCAGCATGTGTGACCCGGAGGGCAGGTCCCGCTCCCCAGAGTTAGAGCCTCGTTGTGAGGACAGTGAGCAGGCTTGTGACTTGGGCACGGAGGGATGCGTGGGGGTCGGTGGGGAGAGGACATCCTGGGACATCACAGCTGACCCGCGGGGCGCCCAGGGCACCCCGACGCTTGGGTCGTCATCTGTGGGTGCACGTTGTGCGATAGCTCGGAGCCCCAGGCCTCCTGGTTCCACCCGAAGTCAGCTTCGGGGATCACCGTGGGAGGGAGGTGCAACGGAAGCTGGTGGTGTGTCTCCAGGGTAGTGTGATCCACCCCCCGCCCCCTCACCACCGAGTCCGCGGAGCCTGCATATCACCTGGGCCCTCGGCTCCAGCCTCCCCTATCTCCAGTGGCCCGCACGAGATGTGCGCTCTGGTCTTGCCCTGCCCTTACCTTCTGACACCGTCTCCCAGATAGGCTCTTCTGCCGGGTCCGATGACGGGTGCATCTCATGTCAGGAGAGCTGCCCGTGGGGACCGAGTCCCTGGGCCTCCCTCACTGGGGCCCAGCTCTGCAGGCGTTTTCATTTCCACTCCAGGCCTGGGCCACGGTTGTGGCTTGCAGGGAATGCTGAGGGGCAGGGAGGGCGCGCCCAGGTTTTCCACCAACAGCCCTTGGGGATCTTGGCTCTCCGTGCGGTGTTAGCCGAGCCCACCTCCCTGCCCTGGAAGGTGGAGGGTGGCTCCCGCGGTCGTCCTTTTCCAGAAAGCACCTTGCCCTCTGGGTTTTCCCCTCCTTGATTGGGTAAGTGTGCCTGGAGAGACTTGCCCATTTCCTCACCTGAGACCCGATGTTGAGACCCTTCAGCCAAGACAGCAGGGGCTGCCTTTGCGGGAAGTCGGGCTGCGTTGGCTCCAGGGGGCCTGGACGTGGCTGAGGAGAGCACAGCTCGGCACTGTTCCTGGGGCAGCCACCTGCCCCTCGAAGCCACCCCTTGCCCTCCCTCTGCACACCGGACTCTCCTGTCTCTGGGGCCCACCCCTTCCAAAGGGCAGGGCCTCAGGTCCCTGGGGCCTCAGGTCATCGGGGGAGGAGGGCGGAGCTCCGTGAACACAGCCAGGCCGTTATGTAACCTCAGCGAGGAATTCGCGTGGGTGCCCCATGGCGGGAGCCTGGCCCGGGTCCAGGGCCTTGATGGGCTTATAAACACTTTCCCGGCTGGCGTGCCTGGTCTTGCCGCCTCTGCCGGTGCAAACCCCGTGGCCCCTTACATTTTGTCCTAGTGGTTGTGGGGCTCGGTGACCTCACTCCCGTGACCCGATTTCTACACAGAGGGGGTGCCTGTCCCTGGAGCCGCTGTGGACACACAGCACCGTCCTTCCCTCCCTCCTGCTGAGGGCGCTTCTGTGCGTGTGTTCGGCTCCCTCCCTCCGCGGACTTTGCTCCTCTGGCAGGTGGTTCACAGGGATCTCCTCGTCGGCCTGTGCGCACACCTTCCTCCCTTACTGTGCGGGCCATCTCCCAGCCCCGCGATGGGGCTTCATCCTTCCCCCGGGCCTAGCTTCACGGCCGTGCTTTCGTTCGTAGCCAGCACCTGCTGACCTTTCCACGTGTGTGGACGCGAATTCCAGTCTTTCAAAATCATGGTTCGTGTTGGCGCTGGATGTGGGTGTTTGGACTGAGGAGGTTTTCAGACCTTTAAGTGAGAGGCTGCGGCTCGTCCTCGGAGCCGCTCCGGACGGCCACTGCCGGGGCCACCAGCAAAGTGAGCCGCAAGCGGGGGAGTCTCCTTCCTGGTGGGGGTGTCGAGGGTCCTGTTTCTTCTGCTGTTTGTACTGAGCAGGTGGGTGTTGGGATGATTTGGGGAGGTGGCTCCGAGTAAGACAAGGGCTGGCGGCAGGCACGGGGCAGGCGGTTCCTCTGGGCTGACCTCTGACCCGGGCACAGGCACTCCCGGGGCTGCGTCCTCAAGCTTAGACCCCTCGGTCCAGGCTGCTGCTCTCTTGTTGATGGAGAGTTTGACATAAAAACACATCCGTGCAGCCTAAGGGCCAAGCAGGGCAGTCGGCTTCCCGGCTCTTTAACCATCAGAGGGTCCGGGACTTGGAGTCGGGATTCTGTCCCGTATGGAACACCGCTGCGCACACGGTGTGCACACCGAGGCCCAGGCGGTGCCGTGCTCCTGGGCGCCAACCCCTCCAGGGCACAGGTGGGTTTTATGATGGTCTCCGGCTTGTCTCCAGACAAGGAAGCCTCCAAGTGCTCAGACCCCCCCCCCCCCCCCCCCCCCCCCCCCCCCCCCCCCCCGAGCCCCCTCTCGCTCGAGGCTCGCAGCCTCTGATGTGTAAAGCCGGTACGTGCATTCGGGCTCGCATGCTGTGTGCATGTGAGGTGCGTGCAGATCGTCCTTGGGATGGAAGCGTCAGCTCAGTGCTCTGACAGCCATTGTGTCCACACTGGGCACCTTCCTTCCCTCGAGCTGAGCGTTCCGGTGGGCTGTGACATTCGTGTCACACCCGTGTGCCCCCTATGGCTTAGGGGACAGCCTGTGGCAGACGGACGTCATTCCCCCTTTTGCACAAAGTCTGGGCTGCAGCTCTTCGAATGGTTTCAAAGGCTTGTGTTCTAAAATCGTAAAAACTCGCTGATGCCAGAGGGACAAAGAGGAAGTTACACACCTTGGTCTCTGTGACCATTATGAGGCGCTGTCCTTTTTTTTGTTTTGTTTTAATGTTTTTTTGTTTTAATGTTTTATTTATTTCTGAGAGAGAGAGAGAGAGAGAGACAACATGAGCAGGGGAGAGGCAGAGAGAGGGAGACACAGAATCTGAAACAGGCTCCAGGCTCTGAGCTGTCAGCACAGAGCCCGACGTGCGGCTCAAACCCACAAACTGCGAGATCATGACCTGAGCTGAAGTCGGACACTTAACCGACTGGGCCCCCCCAGGCGCCCCGAGGTGCTGTCCTTTATATCTTAGCAGGGACATCTGGGATGCTCACGCCAAGCAGCTGCTGATAGTTCTTTCCACCCAGTGCGAAGGGCGGGATTCCGGCCGGTCGGCTTGGGCGGTGGATGGTTACTGGCCCCACACCTGGTGCCCTGTACTTGTAGGGCTGCTGGTGGGGGGCAGTTCCCATCCCGGGGTCGGAGCTGCTCTGCGGGTGGTGGCTGCCTGGACCTTGTGCAGGGGAGCACTTGGGGTGTTCTGTGTCTTCAGCAGGCCCCCGACATCCCTTCCGCGGGTGGGCAGCTGGGCTGGAGGAGCGGTGCCCCCCCCCCCCGCCTTCTGTGGGGAGAGAAGTTCAGTGTGAAACCTTTGGAGGTGTGCGGGGAGGCCTGGGGTGTCCTCCAACCCGTGTGTCAGGATGCCCTGGACGGGACACCCTGTGGGACCGGGCGGCCACCCCGTGACGGTGGGATGGGTCACCCCTCCTTCCGTTCTGAGCCCTTGTCCTGTGAAAACCCAGGTGATGGGCTGGCAGCCTGGGGAGGGCCATCCCCATCCCAGGCCCTCTCTTGCCCCAGGGCATGGTGACTTCCACCCCCAATCCCTGGCATTCGGAACAGCTGTGATTTGTGATTCTGAGCCACACCGTGTTGGGGGGTACACTTCAGGGAGCCCCTTGGGTCCCCAGGGAGAGTGGCGGCCTGCCTGGGGGGCGCCGGCTACAGGATGAGCCCTTTGATGGGAGCGGAGCTTGTCTGCCCAGCACCTGCAGCGCCCCCTGGTCACCGTGGGTCCTGGACGCACACAGGCCCAGTGCCCACTTTGGCGGGCTGCTCCCCGCTGCGCTGTGACCACGCTGGGTGGCGGCAGGAGGCTGCCCCGCTCGGGGTGTTGTCTCATACTCCAGTTCCCCTCAGCATTTAGAAAGTTTTAAGAACCGGACTGGCTTGAGCCTGGACCCCTCTCCCTTCTCCCTGGTGTGAGTCCCATCCTCCTGGAGAGATGGGGGCACAGGGGACTTGCCGCACCCCAGTGGGGGGGTGCCTCCCTGTGGGGTCTCCTCTGCGGTCCAGCTGGATGGGTGCCTCTGCTGAGGCGGCGGCCTCTGGGGTCCATGCGAGTGAGGCCTCGAAGGAGGGAAGGAACACACAGCATGTTCTGGAAGGAGACCGGCCATCGTTGGCCTTCGGTTGGTCCCGCTGAGGAGTCCGAGACCCCTGGCGGCAGCGGGCGGGGACCCTGTGCACGAAGGCCCGTTGTCGATGGAAAGCAGATTGCTGAGTTCCTGGGTCTCGGGGATTGGTGGTGGCTGGTGCAGATGCCCTGGGCCGGTCCGGACGGAGGCCAGTGCGGAGGCCAGGCCAGCCCCGGGCATGTTCGTCAACACAAAACAGTCCCCATCGGTCTGTTTACGTGTCTTGGTGTATTTATCAGACTGTTTCCTCGTAGACGGTGCAAAGGTAAACAGCCGCCTGGGCCTGTCTTGGGGAGCGCACTTCCCAGCCAATGGGCTGGGGCTCCCGGGGCCTTCTTTGCCCTTTGGGGCGTGGTTTCCCTGGGCAGCCGCTCAGCAGGCCTTCAGCTGGGGTGCTCTCCTGCGTCACCCGTCTGGACCTGGCCCGCGTGGCGGCTGCTCCTGGGCCTTTGTGATGGACTGGAAGTTTAAAGCCTGTCTTTGTTCTAGAAAAGTCTTTTTCATGAGGATGGCTGCTTCTGAGAGCCCCAGCCTCCTCTCCCTGCCCGGCGTGCACAGGGGAGGGACCAGCCACCTGCGCTCAGCCTGCTTCTGGCCTTGAGCCCCTGGTGTGTGGGGGGGTGGGGGTGGAGGGTCGGTCGTCCCTACAGACACCACCCGCTGTGGCCTTAAGACCTCCTCGTGGCCCCGGTGCCTGCTTGCCCCCTCGGGCAGGGGTGCCCCCATGGAAAGGTGGGAAGTGACTCCCCTGGTGGTGGTGAGGGCCCTGAACAGGCGTTTCCACCCCTGTACATCAGCACATCCCTGATGCCTGAGCTGCACAAGGACCCAGGATGCCCCCAGCCCTGCTTTCAGATCGCTGCCATGGTGATTCTGGAGGCTGGTCTTAAGTGAGCATCTGGGATACAGGACAATCTGGCTCCGGGTTATTTAAGGGCCAGGCTCTCTCCCCCTTGCCCCTCCTCCCCTCCGTCTGTCTCTCCCTCTCCCTCTCCCTTTCCTCTGTGCCCCCTCCCTAAACCCTATCGCTCACGTAGAGCACAGAGGGTGGGGCCCAGCCTCCTGTGATGCCTCGAGAACGTGGGCGGAAGCGAAGTCTTCCCCACAGCGAGCTACTAGACCCGGTCAAGTTCACCCTGCCTGTGGCCTCGGAAACCAGAGTGTTCGCGTCGCTCTGAAGGCCAAGGGCCATGGCTTTTCAGAGCTTAGGTCCCTGGGAAGCGGTGACGTTTGCAGCTGGCCCGCAGGGTTGGGGGGAGGGGAGGCCCAGCCTGTAAGCCCCCTGCGTCCCCTCTCGGCACCAGATCAAGTGCTACCACAAGAAGTACCGCGCGGCCACCCGCGACGTCATCTTCCGCCTGCAGTTTCACACCGGGGCCGTCCAGGGCTGCGGGCTGGTGTTCCGGAAGGAGGATCTGGACACTGCCAGCCAAGGTGAGGCCCATGGGCCACTGCGACACGGGTCGCGGGGGCCACTGACTGAGTCCCTGTTCGTTCCCCTCCCTGTTCTCTGCCCGCCACTGCTGGCTTCACAGAAGATGGAGCTCTGGTCCAGAGAACGTTCTGGAGACACAGGAGACCTCCTTAGCCGTGGGGCCTGCCCTGGTGGGTGTGGGGACCCTCGTGGCTAAGGCTCGTCCCTGTCTTTTCGCCCCTTCATCTCTGAGCTCATAAACACGGTTTCTTTTTCAGATGACCGTTTTCCTGATAATGGCAAGATTGAATTAGTGTTCTCTGCCACTCCTGAGAAGATTCAAGGTAGGCGGGGCACAGAACGCACGTGGAGGCAGGGTACTGGCCGGCTGGGGTGGTGGGTCCAATCCCGAGAGTCCTGGCACAGTCTCCCACTTTTGCGCTTATTGGAACGTTGTCATCACAACGTTTTTTTCAAGTTTGTTTATTTTAAGAGAGAACGTGAGTGAGGGAGGGGCAGAGGGAGGCAGAGGGGAAGAGAGAATCCCAAGCAGGCTTCATGCCCGATGTGGGGCTTGAACCCATGAACTGTGAGATCATGACCTGAGCCGAAGTGGAACACTTAACTGACGGAGACCCCCAGACATCCCAAAAGGGGGCATTAATTCAGTTTTGAATTGCTGGGGAAAGTGGTCCCCTTCCTTCTGAGGTCGGTGACCTTATTCAGTGAAGTGTGAGGTATGTGAGGTCACAACCCATTGGCTTCTCCAGAACATGGGAAGATCGGCGCGTGGGTCTGGGAGCCTGGAGCCCGGGCCTGCCTCTCCGCCCTCCACCTCCGGGCTGACCGCTCGGTGCTTCCCGCCCGGGTCTGTGAAGTGGTCTGGGTGGCTGTGGTGTGAGACTCAGCACCCGGAGCCCAGAGTGGATGGGGCGCACGGCAGACGGGAAAGGAGTGTCCATACCAGTGCTGGCACTCAGGCCTGGCGTGCCTCTTTCTGGTCCCCCGGGCTGGTGTGTGGCGGCCACATGCCCGGGCTGTGACCACTCCTCCTCCCCACACAGGGTGTGAACACCTATGCAATGACCATGGAGTGATCGTGGACTTCAACACAGCAGACCCCCTGATCCGTTGGGACTCGTACGAGAGCCTGAGTGTCGGCGGAGAAGGTAGGTCCCAGGGCCGCCACGAGGGTGCAGGGGAGGGGCAGGGTGGGGGCGCCTGCGTGCCATTAGATCACAGACGGCCCTGCAGTCTACTCAGATGCCACAGACCCTGCCTTCTTTGGGGTCCAGAGCCACTGGGGCTGTGGGTTCAAGGGAGCCTGTGAGAAGCAGAGAGCACTGGCCGTAAGCTTCCGGGATCTCTGTGCTGGGCTGGCCGGCCTGGGGCACTGCTCCCTGGGCCGGGCCAGGCAGCCCCCAGTCCCCACATGTCGGCTGACGGGGACGAGGCAGAGAGAGCCCACCCAGCGTCCCCTCCTCTCCCCGCCATGCTGCTCCACTTGGTGCATGTCTGGTTCTGTATTTAACCAAGTTCTTCCTGGGCTGGGCATGCGAGCTCCTGGAGCAGACCCGGCCTGTCCTGCGGTGCTTGGCACCCACGGGCTCTGGCTGGGACTCAGGGATGGGCTTCTGCCCTGTAGCAGGTGGGCAGTGGCGGAAAGTGGTATGCCTGGCCCCAGGAGCCATGAGAGGGCATTGACCGTCTTGGGCAACCGCCACTCCCCATCTCGGGGTCCTGCTCCGTACAGGTTCTGGGATGTATGCAGCTCTTAAACCCATCAGTTTTTACTCCGTCTTACGTGCGGTCTGTGTAAAGAGCTTATTCAGTCTGTGCTGTTGATTCAGTGCCCCCGCTGGCAGCACTAGAACTCACGCAGGAACAAAGTTTCTCAAACGTACGGTTTTCCCTGGAAGGCACGTCACGGCCTCTCCCACTCAGGACACTGGGCAGCCCTTCAGGACTACACCGCGGGGAGCATTGTAAGCAGCAGAAGGACCAGCAGAAAGCACAGAAATGCAAAGGCTGCGTCCTCAAGTAGGACTGAACGGTGCACGTTTATGGTGTGAGAGCCGGGAATGTGCACACGGGGCGGCTGCACATTGCAGCCGCTCCGTGCAGCTCCGTGGGCGGCCACAAAAATACCACGTGTCGATCTGGGGTTAGAAATGAATATTCTTGGTGGGTAGGTGAATTTGGAGATGCGGAGTCAAAAAAACAGTGATGGGCTCTACCTGAAGTTCTTGGTGTTTGCAGTCCATCCATGTCTTTCACGAGTCCCGCGGGACTGTGTCTCAGCCCTGCCCGCCCACGTGTTCCTCCCACATCTCCACTGGAGCTGTGTGGCCTTGAACAAGTCACTTGACCTCTCCGTGCCCTGTCCTGCTCCACACAGTCATAGTCGTAGAGCCAGAGCTGCTGGGTAGACGTGGTTTGTGTGATCACTGAGCGGGTCTCGTGGCCGACAGGGTCCCACAACGCCATTGTCACTTGCCCTGGAGCCCAGAGCTTGGTCAGGACCCTAACGTGGGGTCAGTGACGATAGGGAACCCCGCACTGTGGGGCAGCCACCACAGCACGGCGGAACCAGGCGGAGCCAGGGTCTGTGATGAGGGACTATGGTGCCTTTGCTGTTCCATCCAGGAAATGTTTCTGTTCCCGCCTGTGTCACCTTCCTGCCTATGTTGTTTGATGATACATGACCACCCTGTCTCCGAGTGTCACCAAATGTCACACGGAGGGGACTGCCCCGGCAGGACCCCCAGAGCCTGGAGTGTCACTCCCCAAGGCCAGTGACGGCAGATCTCAGGCTGCCGTGCGGGGGCCGTGGTCCCGTCCGTCCGTGCAGGCTCTGCCCCCTGTCCTCAGTGAGGGTCTCTGCTCACTCAGGAGCCTCCTTCTCGTCTGAACCCCCGTGTATAGTGACCCGTTTTCAGATCATCCCACAGATTGCCTCCACCTCTGCAACTTCTGTTTTATCCTGTGTACACAGTTCCCCTGCCCAGAGCGCTCAATCCCTTCGTCCCGGTGCGTTTCTGCTGGGCGAGGGTGTGAGCGAGGGACACAGGCAGGCCTTCTGATGGGGGAGGGGTGTATGTGTGCGTGTACGTGTGCCTGAGCATATGTACGTGTATACATGTAGGTGCATGTGTGCCCATGTGTGTATGCGTATATATTTAAATGTGCGTATATACCTGCACATATGCATGAATACATGAGCATATATGTGCATATATAAATATAGTGTATAGGGGCACCTGGGGGGCTTAGTCGGTTGGGCGTCCAACTTCAGCTCAGGTCACGATCTCACAGTTCATGGGTTCAAGCCCTGCATCGGGCTCTGTGCTGACAGCTAGCTCAGAGCCTGGAGCCTGTTTCAGATTCTGTATCTCCCTCTCTCACCCTCCCCTGCTCACGCTGTCTGTCTCTCTCAAAAATAAGTAAAACATTAAAAAAAAAACAAATATAGCATATATGCATATATGTGTGTCTGTATGTGTATATATGCAGATATGTGTACATATGTATGTATATATACTTACACGTGTATATTTGCATATATATGTGATTGCTTGAGTGTGTGTACGTACAAGTATAGTGTACAGGCATGTGTGTATACGTGTATATATGCGTGTATGTATATGTTCATGTATTTCTGTTTATGTGTATGTATCTGAGTATGTACACACCTATATATGTGTGCACGTGTATCTGCATTATACATTTACATATGTATGATGTGTGTATACCTGTGTGTGTATCTGCATATGCATGTGCCTACACATACATGTGCATATGCGTATACTGATGTGTGTAGGTGTATGTGTGTGTACACTACTATATGTGGATACTTGGGCATGAGTGTACAGATATACTACACTTGCACGGATACATGTATGTATGTGTGTATACACACATATATGTGTGGGCCGGTATGTGTGCATTCGAGCATATTATACACAAATGTGTATGTGGGTGGGTGTGTCCAACTGTTGCCGATCCTGAAGGGTGCACCGTGGGCCATGTCTAGGGCGTGTGCCAGGAATTCATAAACTCTCAGACAAGCCGCCACTCGGCCAGCCACTCGGTGGGACTCCCAGAGGAGGTGGCTCTTGGAGGCAAGGGTGCACAAGGCTCATGGGCGCACTGAGGGAGCATCGGCCGCTGGGGGAGGGGCAGGGGGCTTGTCCCATCAGGAAGTGTCATCCCACAGAGACGGCTTTCCGCTGGACGGGGGACTTTGTCGGGGGCCCGGGAAGGTGACGTGGGGTGCCCTGAAAGCCACGGGGGCTGCAGCGGATGGCTGGGGAGGTTCGGACTCCCCAGCCGCTTCCCAGTAAGATGCAGTCTGTTCCCCTTGCATCCAGGATGCTGTGCCACGCTCTCGGGGTGGGGGGGATCGCTGGGCAGGAAACGGCTGCAGTGTGGGAGCCAGCCCGGGAGCAGGGTGCTGTGCGCTCCAGATCCACCTGTGACACCAGGTGTCGCCGTCTCCCAAGTGGATTTGCAAGCCTCTCTGCCCAGGAACCGTGGCTGGGCTTCAACATTTGGATGCGCAAAGCAAGCGTTGGAGCTTCGACAGCTCAGCAGAAGGAGGGTTGGCCGGAGTGCGGCAGGCGAGACCGCCGGCCCAGCTCTGCAACATGCAGGGGCGAGGCTCCTCTTGGCAGGAGAGAGGGGCAGGCTGCCCATGGAGCTGCAGGGCTGTGGTGCCTTGTGTGCGCGGCCCACACAGGAAACCCCCATCAGACCTCTCCCCACCCCCACCACGTCTCCATGAGCGCTGCTGGCTTCTGCAGCTCAGTGACGCACATCTGCCACCAGCCATCTTGCTCAGACCTCAGAGAGCACCTGCTCTTCGCTCTCCAGACTTAAGAGCCTGCAGCCCCCCACGCCCAGGGTCCCCTGTCAGGTGTGATCCCAGGACCCAAAGAGTTAATCCGCCCAGAAGGCAGGCACTGGTTGTGCATCTTATCTGAAATAAGAGTCTCACCCTCTGTGCTAAGAGCTATGTACAAACATCCTTTGGGTGTTCCCTTGAAACTGGATCCGGGGACAGGAAGCGGTGTGATGCTGGAGGCAGTTTAATGAGTGACAACGGCCCTGAGCTGCCTGTCACTCAGAGTCCATGGCTCTTCGAGCCCAAGTGCCATGTGAGAAGGTGCGTCTGTCAGAATTCACGGCTGGACCAGTTTGTGTTCATGAACACACACCAGTCCGCCAGGGATGGCCAGGTTCCTTGAGCGGATGAGCACTGCACCCAGTCTGTACACTTGGCCTGGCTGGGGTCATGGGCCTTCACCATAGACAGCCTGGCGTGAGCATGCGCGTGGGACAGGCCCCTGTGCACACAGATGGGTCTGAAAGGCAGGGGCGGCTCCTGGACCGCCTCAGTGTCAGGGGGAGCACATGGACCCTCTTTCACTCTTCTCCTGTCCTTTGTGACCCGGGGGTGGGGGGTGGGGGGGGAGTGTCATGCCCGCTCTGTGATGGCTGCACCTGGTCACACAGCCTGGCAGTTCCTGCCTGTCCCTGACCTCTCAAAGGTTGGCCAGGACATTTGCTATGGAAAAGGCCTGGCAACATTTGGATGTCGGATGCCACCCACATGGGAAAGATTGCGGGTTTTCAGTATTTGGGCAGCAGAGCAAGAGCTTGAGCAGGGTGGGGGCTGGGATGCACCTGTGCTCTCGGCAACCCTCCTCCGCGACCTCTATCATGCCCCGCCCCCCGCAACCCCCCCCCCCCCCCCCAGCAGAACTATATGCTCCTGCCCCTCCTGCCCTGTGGCCCCGGGAGTTGCTAGGTAACAGGTGGCAGTGAGCGTGTCCCTGGGCACAGGCTGCTTGTCCTGCAGTCTAGGATCACCAGCAGGCCCCTCAGGAGAGGGCTCCCCACTCCTTCCCTTGCCGGGACCCTCTCTGCACACCATCCCTCCTCTGGTCTCCTAGATCCCTCCTGTTGGAATTCTGCGGAAGGTCCTATTTGAAGACCAGATTCTGCCATTAAAAGTCGGAAGTCACTGCCGTGTGGTTTTTTGGGGACCGCACGTGGTTGAAATCACCTTCAAATTCCAGCAAACGAGATTCTTACACACACAGTTGTGTGTGAGTAGGCTTTATTCTCACTACGGGTCCAAGGACAGAGGGCGTGGCCGTGTTTTATT